GTTACCATCTGATATCCTATGTTTTTTGTACTATTTACTATACATAGGAGTAGATCATAAAAGATATACCAGACTAGGAATGAGTTTACTTCTCCTTGGTCAAGTCTGTCTTCAGCTTCAAATTTACTTGTTAGTTCGAAGCTTGTAATTACTTTGATTCTCCTTTTCTTGTACAAGCTTAATATGAAGTTGGTCATGTTTTCTAGAATCTTGATTTTTTTTAAGGTTTTCTCTAGTATTTCTAAACCTACAGAGTCAAATACTTTTCGCATATCTTGGAATAGAATTCATAACTTATTATTTTTTGTCTTGTATCCTTGAGCAGATTGTTTATTATATGAATAGAGTTCATTATACTATCACCTGAAAGCCTAGCATAATTAGGACCTTCCAAGATATTGAAGTCTACTAGAGTTTTGTCTAGTCTGTATATTAGGACTCTTACTACTGTTTTGCAAAAAGTTTCTATTAGAACAATTAGACAAGTGTTAAACAGATTGTAATTCTAATCCTCTCCTTTAGGAATTAGGTAAAGTTGGCTAAGCTTTCATTTAGCTGAGATTTCTTCTTCTCTGATATATAAGTTAGTGAGGTGTCTAAATACTTTTTGTGCTATTGTACTTGCTTTTTTTATTAGTAGATAGCTTATACCAGATGGGCTTGGTGCAGACTTAGGCTTTGTCTTTTTAAGTGCCTTTAACCATTCCTCTTCAGAGATCTCATCTTCTAAGCTGTCATATATTTTACTGTCTACTGTTTCTAGTAGGTTATATACTTTTTTCCATCTAGTTGGTATGTTTGAAGCATAGGTGTTTCTTTTGTGGAATTGCTTTTTAAAGTAGTTTTTCACTTCTTCTAGTACTTCTTCTTTCTGGTTCACTAGTACTATTTCTGAGTCATCTTCTTTGACAATTCTGTTTATGACCACTCATTTTGAAGATCTTTCAAGCAAGCTACTAATCATATATTTGAGTTCTTCTTGTATTGCTTCACAGCGATGTTCAACTGCTATATTAATTTCTTTGAGATTCTCTTTCTTTCTTGCTTGCTAAGCTTTTAAATATATAATCTTCTATCACATCTTTAACTCTTCTTGTCTTTTTTTGGTCTACGTAGATTCAGAGAGCTCTTCTATTTCTGTTTCATACAGACTATTTATTCTTGCTATTTTTACATTCATTAAGTACTTGTCTGTACTATCGATATTTTGACCTATTTTTGAAGAACATTAATGACATATGCCTCTAATTATTTTCAGGTCTTTTTTAATATTTTTGCTCTCTTTCTTTTTCCCTGTAACAGGTTTTTCTATTTGGATTTCTTTCCTAGGAGAGTTAATCTTGCATATTTGATTATGCTTGTTGCAATTATATCCTACAAGTTATCTTTGTTTAAAGACTGTAGATAAGCTAGATTGTGCTCGTCTTTTATAATATTCAGCTTCTTCTTGAGTAAGCTGTCTAGTTTTGTTTTATAATCTTCTCAGTTTTCTTCTGTTGCTTTGTCAAGAAGAAATGACTATCTTTTCCCTTTTAGTCTTTTTTCATCAGCTAAAGATCTAGTTTTCTTCTTTATATCTGTTATCATCTTTGCGATTACAATAGCATAGTCACTATTTGTGACTATATCTGCTTCTAGTATATCGCAATAGGTAAGGCCTTAGCCTAGATCTTTGGATACCCAAATATAGTCAATTCTAGATTTTACTTGGTTATTTTCTCTTGTGAATTTTCTTTCATGAGGGTGTAATTTCCTGAAAGTGTTAATCATATTAGAGTTTTCGAACTAGTTCAGAAGTGGGAGTTTCTGAGCTCATTTAGAGTCTTCTCTATTCTTATCCAGCTCTTTGTATCTGATGTTATTAAAGTCTCCTAATATTATAACTTTTGTAACTTTTTCTTTACTTTGGCATTCAAATGTTCTTTTAATGATCTGTTGCTAGATATCTTTTCCGATCTTAGAATTATTGTGTGGTATGTATATTACTATGACTAGCACTTTATGCTTTCTGAATATAAAAAGTACTTTTAAGTAATACACATTTCTTCTTTTTACTTGGCTTAAGTGTCTTTCCTATTTTTTACAGATTATTAGACCAACACCTAAGCCTTTCTTCTTGTTTTCTTTTACGTTAGACTATATACCTATATAATTATCTTGATCTCTTAGATTAAAATTGTTTTGTCTACCTGTTGTATTTGTTTTATTGATTCCAATTATATTAATGTTTTCTTTGCTTGCCTATTCTAATAATAATTCTAATTTCGTGAAGTTTCTTTTTATCCTATTAATATTATATAATGCTACTTATAATGTTTGAAAGTCTTCCACTATAACTCTTTCTTCCCTCCTTTTAGAGAGACTCTCTATGTTGAGACAGTTAGCTCCACTGTCTGTTTCCCTTAATTCAACTAGTATGCCCGTTAGTAGCGATTTGGTGCCTTTTACTTCATATGTTAAATTTTTTCTTCGAGGCTTCTTAGGAGTTGTTACATATAGTCAGAAGTATTTTCTGAGCCTGAGATCTGTTTTTGAGTCGTTAGTGTACTGCTAGATGCTTCGTAATTGGTTTCTCTTTTTTTTCCTTCTCGTATTTCTCTTCTCTTTTTCTTGAAATAAGCACTTGTTTATGTAACTTTCTCTACTTGCTCTATACTGCTTGTTGTTTCCTTTTTACTTAGTGTGAGTTTTCTAAATACTTCTTAATCTTGTTTCATACTTTCTCTTGTTCTGAGGCTTCTTGTATTACTTCTTCTGTAAGCTCCTGGCTTTTCACTATCTGTAGCTTTCCTAATTTTTAGATCTGCTTCATATCTTGTTGAGTTTGCTCATCTTAACTTGTTGTCATAGTAAGATAGTGAAAATTTGGAACAGTTTAACATGTCTTCTTCCTTTTCAAAGTAAACTGTTGCACTTCTTATATTGTTGTTATTAGAGTTCTTGAAAATATTTAGTGCTTTAGCTCCTGATCTTTTTATTTGTCTTTACAGAAGTACTTCATTTGTGTTTTCTAGCAGGTCTAGTAACCTTTTGCTAAATCTATTTCTTGTGTAGAGTAAAGATATATTGTTAGTACCTGTTGAAATTCTTACTAGTATTTCATTCGCAAATAGCAGGTATCAGATCTTGTTTATTTTCTTTTTGTTAAAGGTTACTGTTTTAAACTCTACTTCTGCTCTTGTTTTGTCTGAAGCACTTTTGATCATTTTGATATACTTTACTCTTTCTAAAAAGCAAACTATTTCGAATACCTATGTTCTTCTTGCCCAAACTGGCAAATCCTAAACTATGATTTTGTTGGCATCCTCTGTTAGACTTAAATTTTTGTTAGCTTGATATGTTATAGGTTCTTTTTTAAGAAGATCTTGTTCATGTATATTGATTTTTGCTTTTTCTCATCTCTTTGCAAAAACTTCTTTGAATTCTTTTTCTACTTGCTTTTTTTTTTTGCTTTTTGCTTCTTGTCCCTCTTGAGTTGAGTTTCCTATGTCTTGGTTTTCTGCTATTTTATCTAGTTTTTCTTGTTCTTCGTTTCCCTCTAAAAGGAGATTAGCTTATTCGTATTCTTTTTTCTTGTTTTCCAATTTTTCTTTTGCCTCTTCATAGCTTTTAATACAGTCAAAAGTCACTATGCATCAAAGATTGCTATGTTCAAACTTTTCTGAAATTTTCTTTAAATGCATATTTCTTCTTATTGACCATCTAAGTGATTTTTCTTTATGTTTCTCATTGTTTCCTAAGACTTTGATAGCTGCTACTTTAGCTCTTATTGTTCCTTTTCTTTTGCACCTATTCTTGTTTGGTGCCCAAATGCTTCTTTCTAATGATGAATCTGATTCTGCAAGGAGTACATCGTCTTCTGATTCCTCTGAAGTAATATACTGTTGTTCTGTATTTGTTATACTGATTTCCTCTTTTTTAATCTCTTGAACTTCTTCTATTTGGCTTAGTAGTTCTTTGATTTTTCTATCTTCTGGTGGTTGAATTCTTTCTACTTCTATTTTTGAGTTTGTCATACTACTATTTATACTACTTGAATCTGATTAGTAAATTATCTCTACATCTGATTTGCCTTCTTGTACTCTTAATTCGTTATTTGCTGTTACTATATAGCTGACTTCTTGACCCAGTATGCTCTTTACTTTATCAATTCCTTCAGTTATTGCTGCTTTTTCTATGACTTTTCTTCATTCTCTAGCTACTGTTACTATGCTACTATCTACTTCTAATATTTCTGCTTTCATCTTATCTATATGATCTTCTAGACCCATTACTGATCTACTACCTTTTGCTATTATTTCTTTACCGTATTCTTTGGTCACTACTTCTATAAGTCTGATTGCTTTCTTTCTGTTTCACATATTTACTTAATTTTGATCTGTATTTACTAGCTCTGTCTATACTCTATATTTTGTTTGTTGATTGTTCTCTTTGTAGAGGTTCTTTAAATCTTGCTTCTAGAGGTGACTTCACCTTTTTTTGAAATTTCCTGTAAGTTTGCCCAGTTTGCCTGTAAACTGTCTGGTTCTAGTCTTGTGTAATTTGTCCTTGCTTTTTAATATATGACATGTATTTTAATAACGTAATTATTTGTTTACCTGCTTTGCACATGTTTGTATTATGTAATTGATCTGTATTTTAGAGTGTTTTAGGATTCCCAGTTTAGTTCGCAAAAAAATTTTCTTCATAATAATTTTTGTTAAAACTTCTTCTAGATTACTTTTTTAGTTTGAGTTTTTCTACTCTTCTACTTTTCTATATGTAATTTTGCTTTTTGTATCTCTTTTCTTAGTATGCTAAAGGGTATTAATTAGTGAGTTTGATAGTTTTTCTATGTAGTAACCTTTAGCTCAATTTTGTGACTAGATGATCTATGAAGAGAGTTGTATTGAAAATCCCCTTTTGTTTTTTTTTTATTTTATTTTATTTTATTTTTTCTATTGACTTTTTTTTTTATTTTTTTCATTGACTTTTTCTAATTAGTTTCTTATTTTACAAATATGTTAAATACAGAAAGAGCTATTGTTCATGTCCTTGTAATACATTTTACTATTATGAGAAGAAAAATTCTTGAGTAGGATGTTATCAAAGCGTTAAAAAGTATAGGCTTCAGAAAAGTCGATGCTTTAACAAGAGTGAATATGAAATTTGTATATATGAGATGAGTTCTCTTATTGATTATTTGCTGAGTTATAGTGTATCTAAAATTACACTGCTATATTTGTATAATGAAATCTGATAGAGAATTAAAAGCTCATCATAGCTAATTATTTGATAGTTGAATATTCTTCTCTATCAGTTATAGATGTTCTTGAAGTTTAATTGGCCCTTTCTGCATTAGAGAGGTACTTTCTGTATTAGGAAGTGTGCTGCTAAAAAGTTGGTAAATAGGATACACTCTGGCATTAAAGTATAACTATAGAGAATTCTGGTCATGCATCTTTTCTTTGTTAGTTGATGATAATGATAATGATGCAAATACTCACTTTTTTATTTTATTTTATAGTAGACCTGGTGATGAGGGTAAAGATATTATATGCCAAATCACCAGGATCACTATTGTGATTCAATGCAAGAATTATACATGTCAAGACAAAATAGATAATTTAATTATTGTTTTTATATTACGTATTGTAAATATTAGATAAATATATATTAATAATCTAAATTTTTTTATTAATGAATTTAAATTTTTTAGATAACGTTATTATTTTTGCACATGAGACTGTTGTGCAAAGATATACTCGTAAAAAAAGATGCATTGCCTATGGCATTGTAGTTGCTCCTTTTATGAATGCATTCTCATATGCTACAAAGTATGCTATCAGAACATCTAGGATTTTGATTTTCTTGTCGAATAAAAACAATATTTGTTCATGCATTAATGCAATCATTAATAGTCAAAGATGAAGGTATTGAAAGTAGTTATTTTCTTATAATAGCAGGAGGATCATATTCTAAGTTTTTATACATACACCTCTCTTTACACCCTTCCAAATTTTTTCTTAATTTCAAATCTACCAAAGTGTAGTACACAGGTCACTTGAGCATTGACCTTCATGTGGTATGACCTGGATTATCAACCAACAAATGCTCACTTTTAAATATGTAAATATATATATTAATTTTTTTTAAATAATTTTTAGTAAATGTATACGATCTGTTTTATCTGATTTATCAATAAATGTATAAATTTCTATAATACATTATTCTGTTTTTTATTCTGTACTTTGTTTTCATTTGAAATACTATATTAATAAAGCTAGTGTTAGTGACTCTATTTCACATTATTTAATTTTACTTTATTCGCATTAATTTAGAGAATACAAAATTTTGAGCTTACATATCTCTCCAAAAACAAGTTATTTTGAAATACATTCTTTTTTGTTTAATTGGCATAAACTCATAATATTTAATGCTAAAATTTAGTGAAATTAAATTACACAATTTTGATCTGCATTATAATTTGTCAAATTTTAGTGATGTATTTTTTTTTTAAGAACCTTAATTAAAATATAATAGTAATTTTAACTTTGAGCAAGAATATTACTAACAAGAGTACAGATAATTTTAGTTTAATATTATCAGATTGTTACAAAAGTTTTAGTATTTAAAAATATTCTTAAATATTAAAATCAGTTAGATTTTTATCAAGGTATATGCAATTTTAGCTAAACAAAACATCGTGATTAAAAATTTAATATATCATAATTAAAAATTTAATAGTAATTTATTATGAAATTTTTAATCAGAATGTTTTGTTTATATAGTTAAAATTGCTATATCTCGATGATGACCCAACTGATTTTAATGCCTAATAATATTTTTAAATTCAAAACCTATGCAACAATTTGATAACTTTAAACTAAAATTATCTGAGCTTCTGTTGGTAATATTCTTGCTCAAAGTTAAATTACTATTATATTTTTATTAAGGTTTTCAAAAAAAAATACATCACCAAAATTTAACAAATTGTAAAGATCGAGAGTGTATGATTCAATTTCGCTGAAATTTAGCATTAAATATTATGAGTTTATGCCAATTAACAAAAAAGAATTTATTTTAAAACAACTTGTTGTTAAATAGATACGTATGAGAGCTCAAAATTTTATTTTCAGAATGATACATTTTTTTTGGGAACCACTGTAAGTATAAAAATATTAATTAACCTAAGTATTTAAAATAGCTATGTTGAATTAGGTGAACATGAAGAGTATTGTTAATCTAGATATTTAAAAAAGTGATTCGAGTTTATGAATATTTACTAATTTTATGTTCATAGTAAAATGTAGAATAAATACCTACTACATAAACAGAAATTCTAGAAAGTAAATTTTATTTGTTCTAGAATATGTAATGGAAACTTTTTTTTTGTATATACTAATTATGTATCGATGAACAATTTGTGGAATCTATTTTTATATAGTAATAATATGATTACTTTTGCCATATTAAAATTATAATATATTTTTTTTTAAATTGTATCTTCTCAATGAATAAGTCTAAATTTGCAAAAAAAAAAAAAAATAACTTTGTAGAACTTATCCAGAACTACAATATAACGAATTTTTTTTTATAAAATTTTAAATATCTGTTGAGAAGTTAAGATTTTAGATGTCTTTAAATAATTTGCACTATAATGATAATATTTCATAAAATTTAATTTACTATTAATTATAAATGATCATTATATTTAATTAGTTAATTGCTTTTCTTAGTTGTAAATTGCTTACAAAATTAATTATAAATCAAAGAAATTGCTACAAGCACTGCAACATGTAACTTATTGCCCTTATCAGCACAGCAACGATTAGATATGAGATTTTTTGATTAAAAGTTAGTTAATATCTAAATATTTTATTATATAAAGTAATTATGTTTTTAATAAAAGTTGTAAAAATTATTTATTCAATTTCAAAAATACTAAAATTACCAAAAATTACTTAATTAGATTACAAGATATAAGCAATTAAATCTTTACAATTATATTAAATCTTGATATAAGTATAAAAATAAAAATATTTATATCTTGTAATCTATTAAACAAATTTTAGTATATTTTTTTTTTGTTGTTAAGGTGGCTTATATTGCTAAAGGAATTTTATTAGTGTTGCAAACAGGATTATACATTGATAATCTCTATTGTTTGTAATTATATAAATTGTATACAACAAGTCACATATACAACTTTAGTTATTATCTATTTTAAGTAGTCTACTGCATAGGCATTAGGCTACCTAATTGGTTCTATACTATGTTACTATACCTGTAACCTATCTATAAGTTACTTATTTACCACTATGTTTATTAATCTATACAGATTCAACCTAACATCATCACAACACCTAACTACTTAAATCAGCTAGCTTGTTATAGATCTATTTATTCAGAACAGTTTAGGTTTTTTTAGAATATATTATACTAAACATATTTTTAGTATTATAGAGCTAGTTAATCTCAAAACAAACCTATTAGAGTAGTCTGTATCTATTTTATGAATTCATCTAATTTAGAACCTTGTAGATGTTTATACAACCTTAGGTTCTACTGTAGTCTTTTATTAGTTAATTAACTTAGTTTTTTTCTAGTATCTAGCTAGTTCTAATTATCTTTTGTCTAGAGACCTCAAAACCTTCTATCTTTATTAGACTAAGTTTTCTTCTCAGATCAGACTTTAGCTAATATAGTTCTGTCAGAAAGCTATATTATTTCACTAACTCAGAATTTCTACTATACAGATTCTCTGCTCATATAATCTATCAAGATTTATTTATATAATATTATATTATACTTCTAAGTTCTGATCAATTTAGTACAACTCAATTTATAGAAGTACATTCTCAGAAATGAACAAAGTTTATTGTAATATATCACAAAGTCTGAGAAATTATTCAAATTTATTAATAGTAGAATTTGAACTCCAGACCTATTGTATAGCAGTCTGATAACCTAACTACTATACTAGGTTACCAGAACAAATTTTAGTATTTTTAATATTATTGTTTTTACAACTTTAATTAATATGAAAGACCAATATTATAACAGCTAGAACTAATGTACAGGACAGGCTTTGAACTCTTGCACAACTGTGAAAACTAGGTATACAGTGAACAATACTACAGAAGAAATACTTTATTCTTCAGCAACCAATATATCATCTCATACTGAAAATATTCCTTACTACAACTTGTTCCTACTCTCTAGCAATTTACTACTACTCAGCCAAAATGAAACCTTAGGCTCTGTTTTAAACTATTTACAAAACCTTTTATTCTTTCAACCATTCAAAATATCTATCAATATATATCAAACAGAAACTCATATTTATTGCAATCTGAATGAACCTACTTTACCAAACTATCATCTACTAATACCAAAAAAATTTTATAAATTCTACAACTTACCTATTTACACAATACTTAGATCTCCTTATATTAATCCAGAGATCTTCTTACAACAGGACTTTACTCCCAAATATACAAATATTCAAGCTACAACTTTCCCTATTGCAAATGATAAAACACAAGCTCTTTTACTAAAAATCTATTCTCTTAATACAAATGGTCTTCTAGAAAATTATAAACAACTAAGTCTAATCGATTATATCACAGAAAATCAAATATATATTTTCAGTATCTCAGAAACATATCTAAATTCAAAAGAATCAAAATTCTCAACAATATTGAAAGAGTTTACTAATTATTAAAAATTCTGGGCATCTTGTAAGTGCAGGCAAGGAGATATTAGAATTATAATTAATAATTAACTTGCTAAACATATTGGAAAAATTCAAATCTTCAAAAACTTTATTCTTAAAATAGATCTCTACTTTAAAAACAACTACATTAAACTTATTCAAATATATTTCCCAACACGAGAAAAGAAACAATTATGTAAAGAAATCCTTACCTATCTTACCCCAATTATCAAATCAACAAACTACAAAATCATAATTATGGGAGATTTAAATAGTACACCAAACCCTAAACTAGATAGACTTCTAACCAAAAAATACAGTACTCCAGAAAACCAACTTCTCCAAATTCTTAAACACTACAATTTCTATGATACTTTTCATCTATTTTACTTTACTACAATAAAATTCACCTATTCTTACAATAACAGTACTAGTAGAATTGACTAAATATGGACAAATATCCATATATCCCTCCTTGACTATGCAAACATCCTTCCAAATCTATTCTCTAACTCAGACTGCTCAACTATTACTCTTGAAACAATATTTATCATCAACAAATCTTCTATATCAAATCTCTATAAAAGGACTATTTTCAAATAGAATTCTATTCAAGCAACACAAATTAAAAAATACTAACAATATACAGAACAAAACCTTACTAGTCTCCTTACTTCTATAAACAAAATCTCAAATACCTATGACCTTAACAATATATAGTATTAAATCAAAAAATATATCAACAAAGTAGCACTCAAACATATACTATTTAAAAAAATCAAAACAAACCCAGATTCAAATAATTGCTCAAAACCTACTTTATCACTTCTTTACAAACAACTAAAAAATATTATCTCAATAAAAAATCTCTCTACCAACTCAGATATCATTTCACTCTATAATTCTTATACTAAAAAATACTCAAACAATACTCTTTTACCTATATTATACCAACTCTTTCTAGAAGCAAATCTAAACCAAAATACTATCCCAATACTCCTCAAAAGTGAAATCAAAAACCTAAAAATTCTTATACAAAAGAAAAAAAGGACCAAACCCTTCTAGAAATTCAAAACAAACTCAATGAAAGGAATACTAACTTTACTCAAAACCCAAAACTCTTCTTTCGCAAAACTTTTGAAAAATCTAATAACAGTATTAAATTAGATTGTTTTCTATCTAACAATAATTTAACTACTCAACTAGCTGAAAT